GTCTGAATATATTTTCGAAACCTACGCATTAAGCGTAACATACCGGATTAATAAAAAATGATGGACAAGTGATCTGAAACCAGGACGAAAAAAACAAGATGTGAATTAGAGTAAACTTGCCTTCTATCGAGAAATGCAAGTCAACCCAATACTTAACTTGATCTTTATCTAAAGTTTCATATTCTTTATTCTTCCAAGGACATAATCGTCTCTCAGAAAGATTGTAGCCAAAAATGTCTGAGCTGCTAGCATTTGGCCACTGAAGATCCTCATTTATAGCTATAAGATGACAAATACAGTTGATAAATAGGGAGGCGTATTCATGCATCAGATGTTTGAGTAGTTTTGGTCGCAATGAATCTGAGTCAATGGCTAATATTCCACGTTCAAATAGCTAGGTTCAAGAAAAGTAATATAATATAAATAGTAGAAAATAAACCCAAATGCTTTCGGTAAAAATTTAATTAGAAGTGGAACAGTAAAGTCCAGATGCAAATATAGAATTCAAACCTGGATGTCCATTATAGTGTTTTTGAGGAGAGTTTTAACTAGAGTATAATCTGTCTTCTTGATGGCAACATTTGCCATACGAGCCAAGGCTGCGATGATGTAATCAGAGTAAAGCTTATTAATATCCTCAGAGAGCAATAGCAATATCCCATCGATAAGTTCTGAGGGTAGCTCGGAAACAGGGTTATCTGAGAGGACGAAATGGAAATCATCTGAAAAAGCTGATACGGGATCCGTGGTGAGGGGCACGGACATTATAGAATCCTGGTCCGTAAATCTTTCGATTAATCCTTCTTCTCTTTTTTCACCTATATTTTCTTTTTGGTTTACAACATACTTCCTTTTTGTATTTTCAGTTTTGACTTCGCTGGCACCCACCTCGAACCCGCATGCAGCTTTGGATACCTTAGTTAGAGAGTTGCATTGTTCATCCTGCTCGCTGACGACCGGCGTTTCAGAAGCGACGACTGACTGGGGAGACTCTATGCGGAGAGCCTCCTCTTCTGCTTTGTTCATAATGATTAGTTCAAGTTTGGAGAAGCAGTTTTTTCTAAAGTCATTACTAACGACATACATTGCATTCTGCAGAAAGCATGCAGGCTTTCCCTTGATAAATGGTGCCATCATAGCTTCGATTTCTTTCTGATTAACACTGACTGGTAGGTAAAAGTTCAGATCAACCCAAGAGGAATCAGATATAGCCTCATCAATAGCAGCCTTTATTTGAAGAAATAAAGATTCACTGATGCTAATACCTCCAGAGTGTGAAGCCTCCTTAAATTTGGATCGCAGATATAATCCGGGATCACTTATACCGAGTCGCTTAATAAAACCCCATTCAACGTAGCCATTTTGCTCGAAAAATGTTGTAATACATGTATCCTGAGCGTGTACAAAGCAAGAGGGCACAAAGAGACCTTCACTAGCCATAAGAATTCCCATCACTTCGCCAGATATAATGAGTCCCTCCAGAAGAAAAATGAAGATACGCTCAGCAAGATTTAG